CTTTATACAAAATGATATATTGTGAAGCAAAAGGGTGGGCTTGCTTAATGATAATAATAATAATAATAATAATAAATATCAATAACGTTAATGAAAAATTCTATGGCACAATTTATGAAAATCTCAGTGCGCCCTATACACTTTAAGAAATATAAAAAGCAATGACATTGCATTATCTCAGTCGTTATGTACAGTTTTTAAGCAATATGTTAAACTTTTTTGAACAACATTTTACAAGGATGTGTAAATACGGGGAGGTCGTGACGTCAAGCTATCCAGGACAGTATAGAATAAAAGGGTTTGCTAGCAAGAACCTGGCTATAGAAAACTACCAACAATGACGGCAACGGTGACTTTGTTTAACGTTGAGAGGAAAAAAGCTAAATAGTGTCACTGTACCCAATAAACAGTCCTCTATTTCCGGTATTGTATTCCAAACACACCCAATATCCTGCCCCATAAAAGAAATGACAACATTGTCTCAATATACCCTCGAGTTTTACTTCACTTCCATTGTGAAATTTAACGATCTTTTTGGCAACACAAAAGGGATTTCTCGACGCATTCGGAGAGCCACTCTGGGTCTTGTTTGCTTTTTTACCTGATTTGTGCCCAGGTACTATTTGTCTTCTCGTTGCTTAATCCTGGTGTATAGAGCACGATTCGATCGATGACCCGAGGGCGCCGAGCAAATCCTGACAGAGTATTGGGTTCAATAAAATAATGCACCAGGGACACATTCAGATGGGTCTATGTGTGTTTGCATGAACTCAAATAGCTAAAAAGGAAAGCGGGGTCGTAGAAATGGGAGAATTACCTTGTTATTAAAACCTAAATGAGAAATTGAACACTAAGAGATGAAATTCTATATGCGTATCGCTTTTGTAACATAAAACTGCAAATAAGAGATATAGTTAAGTTCCAACTTTGGAATTCACGAAAAAAATCATGTCATTTCATTTCAACTCTTGTAGAGATTAATAAATGATACAGAATTGAAACCAGATATTCAAGACTCAGTGGAAGTTTCTTTTCGCTCAAGTTGTCATATGATATAATTATTGATTTAAATATATTAACACTAAATGATATTTTTTCTTCTCAGGCGTCTCGAGTGGCGGACAAGTCGGCCTACTTTGACGCCTCCAGCTCCTATCTCGTGGAGAACTTCGTCCTGCTACCGAAATCGGCAAAATCCGCCATGGCTCGGAGATGTTCCTTCAGCACGTCTCTTCAGAAGAACCTACTGGTCAGTGACCTAGATCGAGATAACCTGGATCAACTGGTCACCATAGCGGACCTGACCAGTCCTGACCACATGGGCTGGCTGACTGACCAGAGGACCGGATGTGACGTCTGGTGTGTCGTCGCCGACATGCTCATGTGCATCTTCGACTCCGACACCTCTGTGACGTCATCAAAAGTAATCGTGCTCCCTGGTTATGACGTCAGAGCTCTAGTTTTTAATGCACCCAAATCTGATTCTCCTGATAGTGGAGCCGTCACTGCAAAATATCAGTTTATGCTGAGTTCAGAACCGACTGACAAGCATTATACATTCAGCTGTGGAAATAAAACGGACTTCGAAAAGTGGATTTCATTACTGAAGATAGCGTCAGCTTTGAGCACGGACATCTGGGAATATGAACCGTCCTCGTCTGAAGCCAGTAACATGGACGGTTTCCTTCCCGCTGCTCCACCTCAGTTTCAAGACAATATCGATCACGTCAATGGATTCACTCCAACAGTACCGGTTCAGTTCCAGGACAATCATCATGGTGACGAATCCCTCCACCAATTAGAAAGCCCCACGTCACCAACATCTGACTGTTGGCAAGACAACAGTCTCCATGACCGTCTGGATGCAGAGTTGCCTAGGGAGCACATTGTCATAGCTCCTCTTGGGGCACTGAATACCCCGGATAGACACGTGCACACAGCAGTTGACCTCAATGCCGATGAATCCCCACGAGAAGAAAAACATAGCTTTGTGGATTTTAAGCCTTCTGTAAAGGTTTCGCGGTCTCAGAGCACAAGGGCATCTGTGTCCAGAAGCGACTCTATGTCAACGCCCGGGAGAAAAGGTCTGGGATCAAAACTTGCCAGGACGGCATCAAGCATAAAAGATTTAGTGTTTAAAAATAAATCCAGGACGGGCGTTTTCGACATCTCGATTAAGACTCACCTTCAGGATGTCCGTATTTCAGGCTACTTACAACAGCGCTATTTGCTCAAGTGGACAAAATTGTGGTGTGTGATTGGCAGGGGTCACTTGTATGGCTTTAAGAGCAAGACAGTTCTCGAGGACCCTGAAATTGCCATATGTGTTAGAGAATATAAAGTGACAGTTTTGGACAAGGAGAAAGCAAAGCATCCATTTGCATTTAAACTGTGCCGAGAGGGGGCCAAGAGCGTATTCCTCTCGGCAGCAGACGACTTTGAGTTGAGTCGATGGTTGCACGTGCTCAAAGAAGAAACGGGGCAACGTCCACCAATACACGGGCGCCACTCCATGGAACACTTTACAAACAAAGCGTCATCTACCGGAAAATCTGTGAAATTTAATGACGGCGACACCATGCCTCAGAGACCTAAAAGAACGCCAAAGAATTCTAAGCTTGCAAGCAAATGCAAATCGTTAAGTTCGTTAACGTATACCGAAATGGAGAACAGCGAAGGGAACGCTTTGAATATACCCCTTTATCCCGCTAAAATAAACCGAAGTGTGGACAACTTGGCCCCTCAATCAGATATCTCTTCGAACTCAGGCGACGAAGCTGAAGATTCTATCGAAGATGAGAGTAGGGAGGAATTGTTCCCGAACGTAGCCGCAAAACACGACGAATCAGTAAAGTACGTTTGGGAAAAGGACCAATCATATCCTATGCCCTCGCAGGCAAAGCTTCCAGACTCGAAGATAGATGATATTGGTCTACAAGACACGCCTGACAAGAATGATGTTCTCGTGCTTCAGGATGACGTGGCATCAAATGCCGCCCCGAAGTCAGAAATAAAGGTAAGACGCAATTTAGAAGTTTAAATATATATGGGTAACTATGGGATGTGGCGACTAACATGTAAATATCGAGGCAGGCATTGGAGCCATACATAGGTATACATGTACAGTCGGTTCTTTACCCCTTGAGTCAAATATCTATAGCATTCCTGAAATTATGGGCCTTTCGTTTGATGTAATAACTATTGTATTACATATTTCAATACTTAAAAGTACACGCCATATCTAACCCAGTGTCCATGTAACGAAATCTTCTTTTCTTTTTCTTTCCAGCATAAGGTACTTCAACACAGCGCCTCTACCGGTGATGTGGTAGAATTTGTGACGTCACAGCAGAGTGAGGCACGTGGTGTGCACCGAAGTGTGACGGTTCAGGATTTTAAGACTGCTCGAGGTAACGTTATAGATGAAGAATTTACAAGATTTGTACGGTGGAGATGAAAAAGTACTAGTTGTCCCCGTTTACCTCACACGTAATCTGTTTTAGGCATTATTTTAAGGCTATAGTGTCTGTGTTTTTATTTGACTAAGTTAAAGGGTGTTTTTTTTTCGCTTTTTATCTGTCGTATCCGTAAAATATTGATGTGGACTAAAGTCTCTCATTGCGCTCTTCGCGTTTTCTGTGAAAAATGTGAATTTGTAAAAAATTAATTTCAATTTGCATATTGCAGCAACCCCACTGACAAATCAGGCGGCAAAACAACAGCTGCTCCAAGATATGTTGTCACAAAAAGAAGAACTAGAGAAGCGGCACAAGGTAATGCATAATAATAATAATAATAATAATACACAGCGAATCTTGTTCTCAACATGTGTGTCGTGCTTTACATTAACCGCGTTTGTTCATTTTATGTGCTTTGCCGTAACGATTTATCTTAACGCAAGAAAAGAAATGTGACGTCATCTTTAAGATGATTTCATTACATAACATTGATCATTAATAAAGTAATAATGTAACAATTAACATTTTTCTTGCTCCTTTAAAAGTTTTTCTGATAACATATTTGCTAATGAAATGACGAATACAGCATTTCAGTTGGGGAGACGAAGAACTGTTCTACATTATAAAACCCGCCATTTTGTCTTACACCCCATTCTTGAACACATTACTGATATTCTAGTAATATTGTGCAGGCGTCACAGCGTTCATGTGCCTTTCCCCTCCTTTGTTTTAGAGACACATCCGCCCCCCCCCCTCCCTCTCCAGCCCCAATAGTATATAACGAACGAAACAAAACAAAACACAGCGATTTCCCTTATTTCTGCCCTCCTTTACATCCTGTAGTAAATTTGCCCAAGCCAGCTGTTTTTTTTTTTTTTCACGCCCCCATCAAAACCCGGGCTTTTCATGTGTGCTGTATGTTGATTAACGAGTATAGTCTATTTGTATTTATTGTGGTTGCTGTGACAGTTTTGGTGAGGATAACATTCTCTGCTCCATTTCTCAAGTCACTAATATTCTAATATTTCTAATACAGCTATTGCGCTCCGATAACAACACTAATCCAACTCAGAATCGTAGAGCGCCATTAAAAGATGAGAAGCATTACTTAAGAGCGCCATCTGATCCATCGAGGCAACTGGCCTCAGAAAAATTAAAAGTGCTTCGAGATATAACGTATCTTAAACAGCGGAGGGTATCAACGCTGCTTCAGGTATGCTGGTCAAGGTGACAGTGACGTCATTGACACTAACGTCAGAATTCATGTGAACTGACGCATAATTGAAAATGCGAAGAAAATGCTATCTGTCCGTACATAAAACTGCATACGTGATAACGTATGTAATGTTTTAGCAAAGTAACCATTTACAGTAGAATTTAAAATAAATGTAGAATCCTTATCAATTTCAAATCCATAATGTCCGTATCCATAATTCAGCTTTCATTTGTTTATACAATCCGGTATTTTTTTTTTAAATATTATTTTATGAATTTTCTTGTACTTTCAGGTAGGAGATCTTGAAAAGGAACTCCAACCCGCGCAGCCCAAGCCCAAATTCCCGCTGCGAATCCGGCCCAAGTCCAAGGCTCCCCCTCCACCTGTCTTCAACCCCTCGGACCAGAAGCACTTACAGAGTCAGATTCAGGGGCTCCGCAACAAGCTGCAGTCCATAGAAAAGGGAATCACTGTACAGAACGAGCGCAGAGAAAAGCTGGAACGCGCCATGCTCACGGGGAGAGCAAGCGACGGCTTTGCCAAGCATGACGTTGACTTCGCTGCTGACGTTTTCATCCCACCGCCGCCACCGAGTTTTGCCGATGACGCTGATGATGACGTCAGCCGGAACTCAGTCCCAATTTTAACAACAGAGGAGCCCGATATTCCCAACGGCACGGTATCGAAAAAACTAATTACTGTACAGGAAACAGTATCATGTGAAGACAATTCAACTAACGAGGAATTGGTCAGCAGCGATAGAGACGAGAGAGAAGGGGCATTGCCGGTCACAGAGAGATTGAGCATGGATTCCGGGCACGGCGGGTCAGAGAACGAATCTCCAAGCACGTCCCATCGGGAATTTGTCACCAGAGGGCAGCACGGGGAAGCTATAGCCGACGAGCAGCAGGGCACGGAAAGCATTAACCCGGACCTGATGCAGGAAATAGAGGTAAGTGTGTGTGTGTGTGTGTGTGTGTGTGTATGTTTGTGTGTGTGTGTGTGTGTGTGTGTGTGTGTGTTGTTGGGTGAATGTTTGTGTGCGTTTGTGTGTGTGTGTGTGTGTGTGTGTGTGTTGTTGGGTGAATGTTGTTGTTGCGTTTGTGTGTGTGTGTGTGTGTGTGTGTGTGTGTTGTTGTTGTTGTTGTTGTTGGGTGAACGGTGGATGTGTTCATTATATGTGCGCTCATCTACGTGCGTGGGTGCCTAGTGATGTGAATTAAAGTTAAATCAGCTTTTTATTTACTTTAATGGGAGATATTTTGAGTAAATTATATGTACAAGTACTTTCTTATTGTGTGCATCACTTCCCAGTGGCAACTGAATACCTTCCACGTGTATATATATATATATTTATATAATGTGTAATATATAACTTTTCACATACAGACATTAATCCTTTTCAGGCATTTGAACAACTAACAAAGGAAGTGTTAGACAAAAAAGAACTGATGCGCGTGTCCAAGGAAGTGACTTTTTTGATACAGGAAGTGACGAAAGAAAAGAGCGGATCTAACAATTTGGACGATGATGACACGCCACTATGAAATTCGTAAAATCTTTCATAATAAATACTACGAAAGTGAAGCATAGTTATATAATCAGACCTACATTGTAATGTAAGAATCATAATATTTCACATTTAAAAACTATTTTTGAAAATAAACATAAATATAGAAAAACAATTAAATTGTTTGAGTTAAGCCATATAAAACACTATTTTAAATGACAACTTTACTTCAGATTTTACGCGGATTGTTTTAAAACTTAAACAAATTTTTTTTCGATCGCAATAGCATACACTTTTCATTATTTTACGCTGTCAAGCAAAATGTACCTTTCAGCCATCTGCCAAACTTGCAGTACTGTAAGCAAGAAGAGTTGCTTATAATTCCAGGCATCCCTGAAAAAAATAATGACGACGTTCTATAAATGCAGATGGTTTCCAAACATGATATTCGATCTCAGACAGTCTCGTGATCAAGGCCTTTTGGTGAAGGTTTGTAACATGCTGCCTCATAAGTAGATCTCTGCAAAACGATTTACTCTTTTGCCATAATTGCCGAGACGACAGCGAAAAATCTATTTTACCAAAAATTGAAGTTGTATAAGATGTTTATGGCCAAAACCCGCTTAAAAATAATTCAGCATTGATGCGCATTTCAGACAGACATTTATCGAAATACTATTCACTACGTCTGCCAGTGAGAGATTAGAATCATTTGCAGCTCTGCTGCCAACAAAAATGGTGTTGATACACTGCGCCCTAGCCCGTACTAGTACGCCAACTGGGGAGAAATTATATTACTTATCACATCCACAGTAGAAATTGGTCTCTAGATAATAATGTTTCTCCTGGGTCCTAATTGCAAGTAAACAGATGAATCATAACGAACAATACATCTCCTTTCAACAGGAACAGCATTCATTAATCTCATCAGCTATCCAGCGGGTCACGCAAAAACCTGATTCAATGAAAATACATATAATTTTCTATGGAAGACGAAAATAGTATTTTTTTCTATTTAACAGCTAGATAATTATACAGACATTTTTTTCTTTATTGAATGGAATATGACAGAGAAATAGTCGGGTGGTACAACGTTAATTTCTGGAATGAAGAATTTAGTTGTAGCTCCTATTTCGTGGTAATAATAATTAATAATAATAATAATAATTAATTGAGCACTAAATTATTTCAGTACATTTTGCAGGCCCTCTAAACTACTTGTGTTATACATACATGTAATATATATCTAGACCTATTATCACACTTATGTGATATCAGGCTTACAAGCAAAAATGTAATTATATGTTTCATAATTACGTTATATACGTAATCTACAACGATGAAGAAAAAGTCGGATGAAACGTAAAAAGAAGTCAGTTTTAATTACAATTATTAATTTCAAGTTGGAAATACTAAGATGAAGCAAGTCAGTAGCGGTATAACAGGTGTAAAATTATTCAGGTATACATCAACGTGCGTTGCTTTTTATGTCTTAGCCCGTAAGTCGACTAAAAAGGATTCTGGTTGATCTTAAAGCCGTCTAAATCCTAAACCTTACATGAACGAATAATATATACTAGTTTGTCAAGCCATTTATGTCCACACGAGGGAATAGTTGTTTAATTTGAAACCCGAGTTTCAAAGTTTACACGGAGCCAAACTCTGTTTTTAGCTATTTTCTGCGTTAAGTCTTATACAGTAGTATTCATGTTGGTTTCTGATAAACAGGGTGTTTTAGACCGTGACACTAATGTCTATAGCGGTCAAACTGATGGAGATATTAGGATCGAGTTGGGATATAAAAATTCCATAATTTGACCGCTGGTGCTGAAATATCACTAAAAACAATTAGGCTAAAGCCTGCTGGACATTATGCGAGCAAGTAACGTTCTCATCTGGTTGACCTTTCTAAGTTGAAACTGGTGAATAGGCTTTTTTATGTAGTGTGGAACAGTTCTTCCCACTATCATATCATTTCAGAAATGACAACTTTGTTACGCACCTTTATTTATAATGGTGAGTTACTACACATCCGGTGGTCAATTATTCCCGCCGGACTTAGAAGTACGTTTTCACAAGTTCGACATCAATTTCAGGCCTACCCAACTACCAGACTCGGCACCTAAGGATCCTGAATTAACCGGTATATCGGACCACACTACCCGTTTTCAAGATGTGTGTCAGATCGCATTTCGGAGTATCAGCCAGAACACCGACAGGATGAGCCCTGACATGCTCGGCTGTCACCTTGATTGGATAGTAAACGATTGTCGTAAAATCGCTATATGATTTTAAAACCGGGTGCATAATTTTGAAAGCCACCTAGATGAACCTTAGACTGCCACATTAATCTAATACAATGCAAAAAAGCCCTATCAAAAGTGGTTAAAACATTCAAACCGAATGTCGTAAAGTCCCTATATATCCCCATAGAGACAATAAAATAGAGTACTCTAAAGTAAGAGTACAGTTTAAGGTTGTTCAACCGAGCGTGGATGAGCCCGCAGTCGTGCTACAAAATTTGTTCTGGGGTATGATACTCCGAAATGCGATCTGACACACACCTTGAAAACGGGTAGCGTGGTCCGATATACCAGTTAATTCGGGATCCTTAGGTGCCGAATCTGGTAGTTGGGTAGGCCTGAATTTCATGTCCACCAAAGTACCTTTCAGATTCAAGATATCTGCTTCTGGAGGCTCTTAGAGACCATTTCCAGAACCTACCGTGCTCACTTTGGATCTAACTATCTCCAAGGGGATCCTCGCAATTACCTTAAACGGCTTAGATGTCTGTCACGCCTACTGAAGCTGATAGGGTGTAATTAACTATCGTGGATATGATAGTGGAAAGAACTATTCCACACTACATAAAAAAGCCAATTCCCCAGTTTCACCTCAGAAGGGCCAGTCAGATGCGACCGTTACTTGCTCGCATAATGCGCAGCGAGCTTTAGTCTAATTGTTTTTAGTGATATTTTAACAGCTTTAGTAGGCGTCCCAGACATGTAAGCCACTTAAGCTGAAAGCAATTTAGCGAGAAACCCCGTGGAGATGGGACCAATCCTGTTAGATCGATCTAGGGATGGGAACCCAGTCTTACTCGTAAATACCGGTTGCTACATGTACTAGAAGCAGTACTGCTCAGAAGAGCCCAAAACTCTTAAAAATGGCGCGTTATGAAAGCAATTCCATTGCATGCCCCCCCCCCCCACACACACACATTCTCCGGCATCACCCGAGGTTTCCCTTGATTTGCTTAAACGTGAGCAGTCATATTCCATGAAAACTGTAGTACACACACAATAATAATAATAATAATAATAATAATAATAATAATAATAATAATAATAATAATGTAAAAGACGAAATAAAAAGAAAAGCGAGAAGTTCAAATCCATGCTGAATACTGAATGTTTTAGCCAGGGTATTGATATTACTATGGTTTATATCCATAGTATTATGCATTTATTTGTGTTTGCTATGTTACAGTTAGTTGTGTTGTTATTGATTGAACCTTGTGTCTATCAATAAAGAAACTGAATCTGTTTACGTGTTGGCGTTTGTTTCGTGCCTTTTTTTTTTCAGGACGAAAGGAAACAACAGATATCCAATGAGCATACCAGGGTAAAGTAAGAGTACCCCATCGTGAAGGTTCTGCGTGCAAGATTACCAGTAACATTTCATTTATGAAAATAATGAAAAAATTGATTGTGAGACTAGATCTAATGTTGAAACGGAGATCAGTCCACTTGAAGAAGACCTTGTGAAAAGGTCGAAACGTAGTGATCTCCGTTTCAAAGTAAGATCCACTATTTCAATCAATTTTTTATTATCTTAGTATAAAATAACTGGATGAATCAAAACTTTCACTAAAATTCCATTAAGGACACATGAGATATATATCCAAGCAGGCCCGTAGCCAGCAATTTCAAAAGGGGGGCTCTTTTTCTGAACAAGTGGACCTTTTCCCATAAAAAAATTATGTACCTAGATCAAATTTTACCCAGAGTTGACCTTTTTCCAGCAAAAGGGGCGGTTCTTTCGAACCCCCCGAACCCCCCCTGGCTACGGGTCTGCCAAGTCATAACTATCTGTGTCAACTAGAGTGCAAGCAACGTCCTTGTCCTCAGTCATGTCGCATCGGTCGCCCGAAGTCACGTGGCCCTCACATTCATTATTACATTACTGAGGCAATAAAACCGTGTTTGGTTCATACATTATTTGTTTCATTTTATCGTCAAGCGCCGAAGAACACACTTACTTCTGATCAACAGTACATAAGGGATTCTAAAGAGGGAGAAACTTTATCTGATTTCGATAGTAAGTATAAATAGCATTTATCTGTATGCATGGCACGCTAAATTAATGGAAAAAAATGATGGCTTGCTTTTTTAGGCACGAGGAGTGGCTTTTTTGGACTGCATTGTTATACGCCTATCATTATTTTTATCGGTCGTAGTTTTTGACTAATCCTACGTTGAAGTGGAACTTTGGCAAGCCTGTTCAAAGACCCACTAGAAAAATATATTTTCATCGTACAGTAACCTTCTTTCCTATACTTGGGGACAGTATTTGAATACAGATGAGAGCAAATGTCCATTTATAGTGTATAATGTCTAATTGATGTCCCAATGGGGTGAAAGTTTTACAAACCTTTTATAAGTTTTCTTTTATATTCACATAATCAGTAGTGGAAGAGAACAGTTTCGTAGGTCCCGTATTCAGGAAACATACAACTTGAATAATATGAAACAATATAAACTAACGCGAAAATGGTATAGCCTTTGACAACACAAATATCGTTCATTTCTTTTCATAGGAGTTGATTTTGAGCCTCAATATAACCGCCGCTATGAAACCTAGTACACACGTAATACAGTAACAGTGTGTTTTATCCTTAGTCCGCGATATAGTTTATCTGCGATAAGCAAATGCAACTTTTCTGTTTCTTGTATTTATATATCCATTTGCTTCATGTAGTTAATGTGTACGCGTGCAATGCCCCAGATAGGCGCCCCGCTCTCTCCTATATGGCCGCGTTCAGAACGGCGGACTAACTAGACTTCAGATCAAATATGGCCGACCCACTTGAATGTTGATTGCGTAATCCTCGCGGGGAATCAAATCAGTGTCTATTAGGGGATAAGACAGAAGCTTTAAAGTGGATCGCCATACTTGATGCGCAGACTAGTTAGTCCGCTTTTCCGAATGCGGTAGGGTACAAAGTGTTCTATCATTCCTAGAACGACCACTTAGCCACATGAGTTTATAATGTGAAGTAAGGTCAAAACTTGTAAACTTATGTGACGTGTTTATTCTGACTATTGCATGTCTTGAAACTAATTTGATGTCAATAAAATAAATGAACAAAAATTTTTATACGGAATTCGGTCTCTATACAGTAGTCGCACGTAATCCGAGCATATGATTAATAAAGGCTAGAAATAGTCGGTGTGGTAAGTATAGGGGACGAATGTCACCTGTATAAAGTAATGGGGAGCAGACTACGGCTCCTAGCGGACTACCATTCCTGTCACATCGTAATTAGAAAGCAGCAAGATACTGAGATACATGTATAACTTAAATTCTTATAGGGGAATGGTGAGGTAGACTTCCTCTAGTACTTCTTGGAACGGCATATAGCAGTTCTTGGAAACACCACAAAAATAATTCTTAAGATATAGGCTCTAGCATATGTGTTCAAAGATACTCTGAACGCATTTTCAAAAAAAGGTCCAAATTTCCGCTAATAGAGAGTTTCCGGTGCAGTTGGGATACGACGGCTAGATTGTTACGTATGTGCTAATGTATCCAGTAACGCGCTTCTCTCTTCGCGTTCCGGTAATGTCCCGGAATGCTGGCGCTCATTCCAATATAATAATAACAATATACGGCCCCGTAGCCATCTATTTCCAAGGGGGGGGGGGATTCTTTTTTATGAAAAAGGAGACAAATATTACCCAAAAGTGCAATTTTTCCCGACAAAAATGGCGGTTCGTAAGAACCCCACGATCAACCCCCGACTACGTGCCTGATAAACCAAAACTAGCGGCTCCTCTCTGTTAAAAAGTCGAAATTTGCATGAACGTACACTTGAACTATTGTAAAAAAGTATATAAGTCATATAAATTAGCAAACAAAACCTTTAATAACTATTTTCAATAATCTTCCGCACTGGCTAGATAGGAGCGCTTGTATTCCGCAGACTAGATGGGATGACGGTATATGAATGCGGTGAACGTCACAAGTGCGCACAAACCGATGACGTATTAATCTAGCCGCCGTATCTCACCGGCAACGGAAACTCTCTAAT